TTATCAATATAGTCCAATAATACTAGCAATTTACTTAAGTCTACAAATTATGAACTAGTCTTTCTTTTGCTATGGCTCGTAGAGGCTTAGAACTCACTAGAGCGTTGTCTGCATTAACGTAGGAGTGATGTTCATGGTTAAATGCAGCCTCAGCAGACTGAGTGGATGTTGTGCATTTCTGCCTGAGTGGGCTGGAAATTTCCCTACCAACATTAAGTTGTCTCTTTCCCATCCCAACCATGACACGGTTCCAGCTCACAAGCAGACTGCCATTTTAATACTCCCTGCTGAAACGGTAATTATAACGTAATTTGGCAGCTGTTTCAAAAAAAGAGAAGAAACAAAGTCTTCTGTGACTTTTATGTAAGATACAGAGTTGGCATTTCCATGAATTGCAGGATGATTATGCGAGGCAAGTACAGCTCACTTGTACCCAAGCATGTAAAAAAGCTGTTTGGCAGATTTAAGACTGTTGATGCAAAAGACGAATTCTAGCAATCAGCCTCACTGAAGCCTGGGGAGAATTATCAAGAATTTATATCCTAATTCTATCCCTGACTCCTTTGATGTTAAATTTGGGTTTAAATTATAGCTGGTGTTAATTGTAACAGTGAAATATTTTACATAATGAAGAGACTCTGTTGGTTCCCTTTACCTTCTTCCTTTTCCTATCCACAGAATAAAAAATCCAGAGCAACCCAGATCTGCAGCAATATACAGATATACATTATATGCATTAGCTCCTCACACCAATAATCACTAAAATACATCAGCATTCCAGAACAGAGGGCACAAATGGGAATAACACAGGTGACAAACCTGATATTGCATTCCCTTCACACCTAAAAGTCCAATGAGGAATGCCAGAAGTGCAAGACTACTGTATATAGCCACCCCTACCTGCATACAGACAGGCTCAACTACTGCATGTCATCCCTCCTGTTGCCACAAATGGGAATTAAGTAACTGCAACTCTAAGTAACACTTAAGAGAATTTTGTTCGTAAGAAAATTTATTCAGTAATTCTTGGCAACAAGATGAGTTTTGTATCTCGTTAAAGCCATCCAGCTGCTGCCCTAGTGAGAAATTATAATAAAACTCCAAAAGCCCCAATTCCTTCTCCCGTACTCTGACTGGTTCTATCAAGAGGGAACAATTTCCATTAGCTGTGTGAAGGAAGCATTAACAAACGACAATAATACTCCTCATTTTGTATTTAAAGGTATACTCTAACAGTTATGGCCCAAACAACCTCTGTAATTGCCAGCAGCGATCAGTTGCAAAGAAATTTGAAAACAAACAAACAAAAAAACATGACTAAGCCTTAACGTTGCATTCCAGACAAGGCAGCAAAGGCAGGTACTAATTGTCTTTTATTGCACATCCTGTCACAGCATATTGCCACAGAATAAAGTAAACAGCAGATACGAAAGGAAAAGTCCTATAATTCATTCACAGAACTAAGGAAATGCACAAAAACATCCCAAACAGGAAGTTTTCTTGGAAGGCCCTTTCGCTGAATTTAAGTTCAGCCAGTGGCAGTCTTCAATTTTCTTAAGAAACAGCCAGGACTGTTCTCTGACCCGGGACACTGGCAGCGTGTTGGACAAAACCTGCTGACTGCAGAATATCTACATGGCTGCCATCTGACATAGGAATGAGGTAAATGGTGATATTAGAGTGTTACCACAATTAAGACATAGAATCATCCCAAGTAAGGAATAGAATCACAGGGTAATTTAGGCTCGAGGGAACCTCTGGAGGCATCTGGTCCAAGCCCTGAATCAGAAGGCCAACTCTAGAGCATGTTGCTCTAGCTGAGTTTGGGTATCTCCCCTGGATGTTCTATAATCTCTCTGAGCAACCTAATTAGGGATTAAATCCTTTAAATCAACTTTTTATGAAAGCTAAGTGCACAGTGAAAACCTCAAGATTCTACTATAAACTGTTTATGCTACACCAATGCAGAAAGGATCTAGCAAGATCCTGGTATTTTGTTCTCAGCTCATAAAGTAAGGCCATCCTAATCAGTATAATACAACTTTATAATTCCCAGGATAAAGTAAATGTTGTCTGTATACAAATTCTTTTGTTTAATTACCTTTCCTTAAGGTAACCAACGAGTGACGCAAAATTTGAACAGCAAAGCCCAGGTACTCTTAAGTTCTCACACACACCTCCCACACATACCCAGACCCCTCACTAACTTATGTGAGCAGATTAATCTCTAATTCCTTTTCTCAGATAAAGATTTCCTATGAACTCTGTGTAGTGGGAACTGAATGAACACAAAGAAACTGATTTTCATACACCTGCTCTTCCACATAGGATAAAGTGGGCCCAGGTCTTGGACCCAACATCCCAAACTTACTGATCTTGGTATTGAACTCATCATGTCCCTCAAACCAGAATTTTGGTTTGTACTCCAAAAGGAAGGATAAAGGAACAGAATGATGCGTGAGAGGATAAAATCTCCTGATACGTAACAGAAGCTGACTGCCTGATACCTTTATGTTCCCATAGAAATTCCAGTTTGCAGCCACTTTCAAACTGAACTTTCAAAATGAACTTCAGCTCTCTAACTTTTCAAAATCTGTCATTAATCTTCTGTTAAGAGGAGTGAGAGAGCAGCGAAAGGGCAAGGGGATGTCAGAACATTCATTACACACAGACTGGTAAAGTTTCGTCTCTGAGTTAGCAGCCAGTCCATGTGGAAAATCTTTGATGCAGCATCATCAGAGACGGCTGGAGCTCTTCACACAAACCGCGTGGGCAGAGGGGCCAAGGCAGGATTAATTTCCTGGAATGGGTTACTGAAATAGATACATCTTGATGAAATCCCCGAACAGACATATACCTAACAGTTTCACCCTGAGTTGTTTGTGCATTTTAAAACATTCCAGTAAGCGGATGCTGTGGAATCCAAATTGATTTTAAGTTTCGTATTTGATCAACCTCCCTGCATTTCCACATTACTTTTGAACTTAAAGGCCTATTGAGCAAACTGTCTATTGATTGGAGTGCTCAGTATCTTTAGATTTGCACATTAATGTGTCCTGCACTCACGAAAACAGAAAACACCACCTACTGTCTCTGAAAGAAAAAAACCACCTTACCACATCAATTACAATATAAAGAGAAGGTGCCCTTAGATAAGGTGCTTTTAACTTAAAGAGACACTACTGACCATAGAGTTCAAATATAAATTTATGTCAAAATAATGTCAAATTAAGAAAGTATAAATATCTGACTCAAAAGGAACTGCTTTGGTTTCATCAAATCTAGACATTCATCTGTTGGTATTTCCTAGACACCAACTTTCTGCACTAACTCCTGGGCTTAAAGAAGAAACTGACTTCATATTTGCAATGATCTCTCTAGGAGATGGTAACATTTAGCCAGCACAAACACAGGAAAATCTATTTTCTGTATCTAGCTGACATAATCTGTTCTTCCTCATTGTTATTAAAAAAAAAAGAAGCCCCTTGGACATCCCCTGGACCTGTTCCCACTTTCTGTTCTTTGGTTCTCTCATCCTAAATACTCCCCAGAGAGATTTCACAGAGACTTCTCAGCTAGACTTGACTGTCTTTGGTGCCATCTACAGGCAAGCTCCGGTTGGCCACAAAAATGCCTAATATTTAAAGTGTTAACAACAAATGTGGACTTCTGATATGGAGTTATTTCTTAAATGTTCATTAAATCAGGATCACTGAGTTCACTGCTCAGCTTCACTCCTTGCCTTGCCTTTTGCTGCTACATATTGCTGCGTGCCACTGAACAACGACAGCCTTCACTATGTAAATGGACGCATTGACTATTGTTATTATTTCAAATGTGCATCAAGCAGTGAACTAACACTGAACAAATGTCTTTTGCTATTAAATTTTTATATTCTAAAGTAACTAAAAATTGAATTTCAGGAACTGAATAACAGTTTATTAAAAACGATCTGGGATCATTCAAAATGAAGAGTTATCTGTGTGAGATTCTACGTGTATGTCACATATATCTATCACGAATGTCACCAAGATTGCTATTATTTGAAGGCTGCTAAGAGGACTACATGAGTAATACTTCATTGGCACCTGCTATCAGCACTGGGACATCAAAAGTCAAAGTTTACCATGAGGATGTCTACACTTAGTATTTAAGCAATAAAATAAAATTTAAAAAATCTATAAAACGTTTGCATCCACAGCTCAAAATATATCACTTGTTACACTAAAAACAGGCACACGTTGAGAAGATTTACTTTGCCTGGCACTAAACCTTATATATTGTCTAAAACACCATGTACATTCCCTTGGGATATAAATATAAATCTGATTAGCTAGCAGGTCTTGTCAGCTACAGTAAATTATCCTCTGGGGTATCTGAACCACCACGTGGCTCTAGGACTTCTGTAAAAGGTCGGGAGGACTTAACTAAGGTCTATATAAGTCATTGTCTCTGCCATTTAAGAAAGAATTAAGTCAAGGGGACTCTAGATCTCTTTTAAGTTTTCTGTTCTTGGCTTGGGGACAACAAAGCAACAAGGTGAGTTGAATCTTTCCTCTGGGAGCTTTGGCAGTCATCACATCAACAAAAAAAAAAAAAAAACAAAGAATGGAGAGAATGGAGACACCCTAGGATCCCAAAGCACAGTGCAGTTCTATTTTGGTTTTGTCCTCAGTCTGTGCACACAATATTCCTAACCAGAGATAAGAGCAGAGAGGACCCACTTCACGTTTCTCAAGGAAAGGATGGAAGAGCCGGCGTCCCTGCAGAGCAGTAACCTTGCTTTGCAGTGGGACGTGTGTTGCGACTTTCACCACTAAGCAAATGGGGCTGCCCTCATCGAAGGCTGATAAAGCAAGATCAATATGCGGTGAATCAATCCGCTGGTTCACAGTTTATGGCTGCTGCTATTCCTTCCGACATAGCATCAGCCTCCATAGTTCCATATAGATATTATTTATGACTGTATTAATTCCTGCTAGTATTATTTTCCATTTTACAGGACCTTGGACATGGCTCTTGCTGGTATCCTGACAGATGCAGAAATTGCTGCTGGCCTACAGAGCTGCCAAGGTAATATTTACCTTTTGAAAACTTCTTGGCTTTGCAGTTTATCTATCAAATTTCTCTTTCCTCTCAACTTCAAACCCTTAATTCCAAATGAAACAGAAAAAGTTGAAGAAATGAATGAGATTACGTAACTTCTCGCTGTGCTGCGAAGCACTTTGTTGATGTATGCAGAAAAGCCTTTTTTTTTTTTTGCCAGATCTCTATTTTTCTTCATCACCTCTTGCTTATTTGTTTCAGAAGCAGATTCCTTCAATTACAAAACTTTTTTTGTCAAAGTGGGTCTTAATTCCAAGTCTAAAGACCAGCTGGCCAAAGTCTTTGGAATTCTTGACCAGGACAGGAGTGGCTTTATTGAGGAAGATGAACTGAAGTAAGTAAATCAAAAAATTTAGCGGATTTACCAATAGGTTTTTATTCTACTGTTTCAAAATGTCTGCAGGATATACTCCCTGCAGGATATACTCTGTTTCTTTGGATTCTAGAACAAAATCTTTTTTGTGTGTGTGTGTGCTTGTGCTGAAGAGGTTGCAAGACAAATAATATGAATGAAAAGTTGGATCACAAGGAGAAAATATTTCTACAGCACTGAAAATGTCATGTATGGAGAAGTGACATACTGTAAAGACAAAAATAGCAGCTCTGCTAGAGTTTACTTTCTATTATTGCAAATTTCCTTACCAGACTGAGTTCAAAGTGCAATTGCTCTGTCATCTTGTTCCTGTCACCTGAATTCTCCCAGATTGTATTTAACTTTAAAATTAAAAAGTGGCTAAATTCTTGGCACTCTCATGATGAGAGAAGAAAGATAAGGAAGAGGAATCTTGCCACTAGAGAATCAGTTTTAATTTTACCTTTTCAATCCAGTGAAGTCAAAATGTCATCAAGGGATTTTCACACATTACTATGCAACAACCTCTTCCTTCCTTACTATTTCTCACTGAAGTAGGAGGAAGTTTTGTCACTGAATTCAACAGGATTTCAGAAAGAGTTTTTGAAATAGTCTCAAAGATTCAATTAGGCTCAGAATTTTACAACTATTATCAATAACAAACTTAAAATATTTCTACTATTCGATATTTCTTGCTAATCTCTCTTTAACAGACTCTTCCTGAAGAACTTCTCTGCCAGTGCCAGAGCTTTGACCGACGCTGAGACCAAGGCATTCCTGGCAGCTGGGGATAGTGATGGAGATGGTAAAATTGGAGTGGATGGTAAGATTCCTTTTATGAAATGGAGTAATCTTTGCCCTTGGCATGTCTTAGCATCTAGCTCTAGACAGCTGCCCTGCTCCATGTGCTGGCTGTTACGGATCTGATTCTGAAGCACTCAGTTCTGTCTCATATTGTAGAAAAGGTCTAACACCGGAGCCCGTCTGTTTTCTGCCCTAGACAGTTGTAGTCAGAGCAGATTTTTAATCTGCAAAGATTTTTCAGGACTGGAATCATAATTTATATCTTTAGGAAATCTTAGTATATAATTTCACAGATTTTTACTTTTGAACTATTGCTACAATATAAAAATGATACTTAAATGCAACACTTTATAAGTATCCACTATTATCTGCATGCAATGCACTAAAATTGAAAATATTAGACAAAGTATCATTTGTTTCCTATTTTAACTCTAAAAAACATACTGTGAGATTAAAACATATTGTGAGATTAAAAATGTGGTCCAATTTTACTATTCTTTTCTTTCTTTTTCAGAGTTTCAAGCCCTGGTCAAATCTTAAAAAGCATTTAAAATAAAGACCAAGCTATCTGTACTGTATCAACAATCTTTCCTACTCAGATTCTATATTTATGTATACATTCTGTACACTGAAAGATCACCTATATGTGACTTCACACTACTAGAAAAGGCTTGAACTAGTGTGTTGCACTATTTGAACCATATTTCTCAGTGTTTTAAGCAGAAGATCTTTATATCACTGGAAGATTAAGCTGGAAACCACTCATCTGAATTCTGGACTTTAGAGATTCTAGTAAATATAAAAAGAATGAGAAATTAAAAGCATTTCTGTGGACCATTTATTTTCAATATTTGCTAGCACTTGCTGTGAAAAAAAAACACTGAGCTAATAAAATGTTAGGGTATAAAACCTGATCATAGTAACAGGTAGCAGTGAGATTATACTTGTAAAAGTAAAACATGTATTTAATGCTCTGTAAATTTTTATGTCATTCTTTATACACTAATTAAGATAGGCAGGCCTCTACATCTCACAGTGATGATGCAGTCTATACGAATGGCAGGAGCTAGCCATAATTAAGTTGTTTATTTTAATATTAAACCACTGGATCCAAGATGAACACAGACTACTGATATTGCAATGCATTCAAAACACACACAACGGGATGTTTTATTAATTCTCTAAGGAATCACTCACCTACCTGCCCACCTGATGGCACCACTGTTCCACTTACAAGAAGTTCAAATACTATTTCATCTATTTGGATGCAGTCAAGTCAAAATAGTTTTAGTATCCATCTTGTTCACATCTCTCTATGAGCCAATATTGACAGATTAAATTATCCATGACCATAGACCACTAAAATTTTGTCTTCCAAACAGTGAGACACTATGCATTAGATCTTGGAGCAGGAAGGACAGGACATGACTGCCAGGTCAGACATAAGATCACTGGGGCTACATTGCAGCTGGGGAATATGCCTTTTGGTGAGCCTGCTTTGGACATTGATTTCTCTTTAGTGGCCAGTCCTGGGTGCAGGGCCTTTTCCTATGCCCTGACTCCTCGTGCCGGACAAGCTGGTCAGTGGATCACACCTCTAGCATATTAGCTGTACCTGGCAAGTGACACAACATGACACAGAGAAACAAAGGAGCAAGACATGGGTCTACCTGCATAGACCTGGTGGGGGCTGGCAGCTCCTCTCTCTGTCACTCTGAGACTTGAAAGTCTGCATCAGAGAGCCAGATCAGGTATTTGGCATGTCTTAATCATGTTAACCCTAGCTATGCCGAAATGACTTCTTCAAGATTAATATAAATAATATTAATTGTTAACAGAATTATTAATTATTTGGCCTGGAAGCCTAATTTGACACAATGTTCTCCCAGCCCTAACAAGTGCACCTGAAAGCAAAGGGAGCCATGTTTTTGGTGTACCAAAAACATTGGTACACCAAAATTTCAATCATCAACTCCCTGGTGCTTCATACTGGGAAAGAGGGGCATACTGTCCCAGTACCAACATTCCCTTGCCTTCCTGCATCTCTAAACTGAGGATAACATAACATTCACACCACACAGCATTGTAAAAATAAACACATAAATGTCTGAGATTGACATCAGAATGAAGAGAAATTAGTCTTTTTTTTTTTAGAGATAGGTTGGAGTTACAAGCAGGAAAGAAGAAATGAAGAAAATGGAGGATTTTGAATAGCTGACTTCTAACTGAACTTAATCCAACTTGTGCACTAAGCTAGAGTTCTGGTGAAAAATAACACTAAGGTTATGTCATTGAGACTGTATCATAATACAAGCATGCAGCAATAAATTAACGTTACACAGATGAACTAATTGCTAACATTACCTAATCTGACACTACAGTCTTTTTCTTCTTAGTTCTTGGGCATTAATCTTGAAGAAAATTATGTGATTGTCTCATATAATTGCAGATTTTAAATCTCAAAATTATCTGTCAAGGCTCTAGTGACACTGACTGATGCATAACACATTTAGGATTATACATTCTGGAGAAGGAGGAAAACAATTAGTATCAATATAATGTCGGGGAAATCACCATCATTAAACGAAAGCAATCTATATGTTTTATGAACACTCAGTAATGTGTTTCCATGCCTTATGGAAACGTTGACATGCCTATGTCAAAAAATGTCTTTCCATTAACTCGAATGAATGAATCAGGCTAATTAGGTTAATTCTGGGAATTTTCCTGAGCAGTGAAACAGAATTATCCACTGACAAAATTCACTCATACAATTTCAGTGTCATTTCAGAGGAGCAATAAAAAAGAAAATCTCTACTTGCAGATGTAGTCATTGTCAAAAAATACAGTATACCTCAGCAAATACTAAGTTTTGTATTTTCAAGATGCAGTATAGGCTACCTATTCATCTCAAAACACTGTATTGGCATTAATGGCTAATGGAGAAAGGCACAGAGCTCAGGTCATTTCTGAGTTGGCAGATAATTCCTTTATTTAACCAAACTTACTTCCACACTGATTATCCTGCTAGGTCTGAACAAATCGAAGACAATTTCACCACTTACCATTCCATCAAGGACATTAAAAAATTAATGACAAGATAGATCTGGTATCAGCTCCAGCTGACCACTCCAGCAAGTTAAAAAGGGCTTGCTTAGAGAGGTTCTTAGACCTTTCCTTTTTTCAGCATTAACACGAGTAGGTCGGTGGAGAAAATGCTATCTGTGTCTTCAAGAATAAACTCTCTTTCTATAATTCTTTATCTCTCACACAGGCTGCCAGGCACTGTGAAATAAATGCTTGTAACTGCCTTGTGCTTTAGGAAGGCAGGCCATGTGTAGGGTCAGAATCAGATGACCATTACTGAGTCATGAAGACATTTGATAGTGCATTTAAAGACAAACATAAAGCATATTAAACATTAGCAGAGACTTGCCAAAAATCAGCCTTCACGCCAGCTTTTTAAGTGAACAAGTATCCCAATCAGAAAAATCTCTATTAACTAGTTATGCTATTAATAAGTGTGGTTGGTCCATTCTGGTGTCTCTGGTATTCTCAGGTAAATAAATCTCATTTATGGGGAATGATAAAGGATGTGACTTAGACTCAAAAAGGCATACAAGACATCTCTCCTAACACAATAAAAAGTACCTGTCTTTGCTTAGCTCCAGTCCCTCAGTGCTGTAGGATTTATTCTGTATTTCGTGGTTTCTGTAGTCTAGATGTCCGCTCCATTCTGTGGACAATATCCCCAGCCTCCTTGACGCAAGGAAAGAAAGTTTTGTCATCTAAGTTTCTGATGCCTGAATTTCACTATTTTCATCCTGCACTGTATATGATGTGCAGTATAGAAAAAAAATCAAACATTAAATCATTTGTACTTAAACACCTCCATTAAACACTACAAAGAGAATAGCCCAAGCAATCATTCAAATTGGATTCTGTAATTATTTCTTTATGATTACATTGTGTCCCTTGAGAGACAGCTTGAAGTGGCACAATTCCTATTTTCATCACTTTTAGTTACTTCCAGACTCTTTACAAAGACAGAATCTGTTGTCCAGGATCATGATACAATGGTTCTAACCCAGACACTAACACAGCTGAACAATGTAATTGTGTGGTTTTTAGATGAGCAGCTACAGCATCGCTTTATGCTACTGCAGTTGGTCTCAACACCTTCCCTCTGGGGATACTGTTGAAGTTCCATTTGCATTTATTTGACATATGTCTTTGGTTTACTGTCAATACTAATAATCTCTGTGCTTTCCACCAAACAAAACAAAAAGAAGACAAGAAGAGTCCACAAATTGTCAATGATTTATCGACACAAAATTTTCTTCTGTTCGTTAGAGAAGTTAATGGTACTTGATTTGAAAATACTTCTATTTTAATGTTTTGTATCAGATTTCATAGAAAATAGATTTATTTCAGGGTGAAAAATAAAAATGTCCTATCAAGAACTTACCAATGTAAGTTTTCTGTGTTTTTCAGAACTACATCTTCCAGTTTAATTGTGGAAGTCTGAAACAAAACAAAACAAAAAGTAGGTTTAAGATTGTGCTGGAAAACAGCAGAAAGAAAATTATGAAAATTCTTCAGAAGAACAATTCAATAGCACCTACAAACATCTCTAGTAAACAAACAAACAAAAAGCCTCAAAATAGTTTTTCTTGAAACAAGTGCTAAATATTTCTGGAAACTGCACAATAATCAGATTCTGTGCCACATTTTGCCCTGGTGTAAACTGCTTGTTACCTAACCATTGTTCTTCTAGCTGATTTATTAGGTATTTTCTCTAAAGCACTACACTGCCTTCATATGATCTTTTAGAAAACTCAGATCTTCTTCCAGAGGTCACAGTTTTTGCACTTCAGAGCTGTAATCACCTGAGTTCATGTATAACACCAAAGTAACACAAACGAACAGATAATTTATCTGTGATGTAGATTATCTAGTTAAAATATCAGTTTATATAATATACTCATTCTGGATTATTTCATTCTAATTGTAGAGAAGGGAAACCTGTGCTTCAGATGAAGCGACATTAATAAATAAATAAATACGAGTAACCTTAGATTCTCACCTGTATCATTATACAGTGACATCAACTTGATTCTGAAATTCAGCTCTTTTAGGCTTTTGTAAACCATCTTTCAGCCAGGATCAGCATCACTTTTGGTGTAAGTATTGAATTTCAAATATTACAAGAATCCTTCATAAGTGTTAATGAGTGCACTTATTGCAGCTATTAGCAAACTTTCATTCAAGATCATTATTTTACTATCACACTCATTACATTTACTTTACAGCTGTTAAATATATTTCCACATGTAAAAACTATTCTGATCCCCATGTTCTCAAGAAGTCAGAGCTTATGAGGTAGCCAGATACTGTTCTGGAGCATTTGGTCCTTATATTTTAGTACTTCTCAATTTGTTTCAAACTGTTTTGAGTTTGAATGGTAGATGTCCACCTTGATCTTGCCAATCCATATGATTTAGATTTCCTTATGGTCATTAGCTTTTAATAATTAGTGTTGTATGACAAATGAAATATTTAAACAAAGCAAGCAGTTTGCCAAGCAGTGGGTGAGAGCAAAAGTGAAATTCTGTTCTCAGTGACATCAATGCTACTACCATAGAGACTGAAAAAATTCCTTCTGGGAAGAAACATTTTGGCAGTAACAAATATCAAGAAAAGTTAAGAAAGTCTTCTGTAAGGTTTCCTGTGAACTTGAGATGATCAAAAAAAAGAAAAACTTCACAATGGAGTACAAAAATCTACCTACAAGGGTGAGAAAATTTCAGGATGATTCTGTAGAAAGCATAGTATGTGCACTTAATTCCTTGACAGATTATAATATTGTCCAAATCTTAGGTACTGAAAAATATTAATACGCAGTCCTGAACAAAGAGGATAAGCAGGAAGAGCATTAGAAGACCTGTGACCAGATCTTCTGTTTTTTACATTATTTTCACCTTTTATTTCTTATCCTGATTCAGACACACAGGTGTTGTGGAGCAATTGCAATGGCTGATACTGTTCTCACTGTCATTATAAATGTACTGAACTCTATTAGCTTATACCAATGTAAGGAAAAAATGAAATGTAAATGTTTTACTACTCTATTCTGCTGCATGAATTTTAACTTCTGCTTCCACAAAAATACTTCTTGTTCAGCAAATCATGCTATTTCCATTAATTAAAAGCAGTTCACCTATTATGAGGACATTACTTTACATACCCTAACAGATTGTTATACAATAAACTGTCAAAATATACATGTGCTTTTAAGGGTATTTTTAGGTCTTCATCCCAGAATCTTGTCCACGTGGAATCACCTTAAAGGTGGAAGTTGATTTTTGTCTCAGAGGGACAACCTCAAATCTGTTGAACTCGATTTTAAACTTCTTCCTAAAATGACTGCTCACAAAAATCCACTAAGGCATAACTGCAATTTTAATTTCACACTAAGCAAAGAAGCTGTGTGTACGCATGTTATAACACATATATAAAAATAAACGTCCACCCTTGCAAAGTATTACTCCTATAATTCAGTTAAGTTTATTATAGATGCCATGTTATCTAAAATGCGCGAAGTAGATGGTACTTTGAGTAGGAGACCATCCAAGTATATGCAAACTTCTAAGCAATACAGTTATCAAGATTACCTTACTCAGCTACACCTAGTTTCTGAGTTTTGCTGTCACTGGCATTGGTTTCTTTTCCATCCCTGATCAGCGATAGCACTGCAATTTTGTAAATGGTTAGGAAATGCAAAACGAATCTTGCTGCAGAAAAATCATCCCAAAGGATGTCAGCCTTTCCTCTCTTGGTGACCAATTATCTGTCAGAATCTATCTTTGACACATTGTCACCTCAGATCTTTCCTCTCCAACTTCTCTATATACCTCAAATGATCAGCAGGCTCCGGGAAACAAAATTAGTTTCTTTTCGCAAGGATTTGACTGCTTCTAATGAGTGACTTTGAAGTCCAGGAGTTAACTGAAAACCTTATACGTCTCGATGGCAGAGCAGTACTTAATGAAGATAAGCTGATTTATTAAAAAATTGTTGTTCTTGCCCATACTGTCTTAGGATCTAAATAGAAAGAAAAGTTTAATGAGTTAAGGAAGAAATTTGAGCTAGGTCTCAAATCAATCATTTGATCCATGAAGCAGTAACCTAAGTAGTGGTTATTGTCACCTTTTGAATCCTTTATAAGCCAGAGTGGCAAGCCATAGTCAACATTACTATTTTGCCTTGTACCTCCTCAGCTATTTTTCCTTTACCTAGCTGAGAAAACTACAAAGGTGAGCAGCTGACCAGAGATTAATTAGATGAAATTACTGTGCAGGGCTGTACCAGTAGTAAGTACAATAACCATTGTTCTAAGATTTTAACTGCTGGAATTACATATGGATGGACCTTATGTAGATAAGTATCAGTTTTCTTTTTATTCTTCAGAGTTGTTGGGGGAGAAAACAAAAGCAAACCTTCTTGACTTTCTTTTCTCCACTGCATATCTTGATATATTGTATTGCCAAATGCCATGCATTCCAGTAACACTAATGACTGGATTAACTGCTGCAGAGTGAAAAATCTGCTCTTCTTAAACAGGAAGCAGGTAATAGACAAAAAATTGGTCATTGACTCACAACATTATTTACATAAACTCATTAAGAAGTTATTTCAGCAGTGCTCTTTTTAAGGAATAGCCTGATAAATATTATAATTTGTGTAGAAACAGAAGTAATGTCAATTTAAGTAACTGGATTTGTCTACTCTGAGGAGTCTCCCTAGCTAGTTATTATAATAATCGTCAAACATTTGAAAAAAAAATATTGTTAAGATGCATTTGTATTTCATGCATTTGTTTGCTATATCCTGTTTTGAACAGATTTAAAATGAGCATCACGGATATTCTAAGCCCTTCTGATATTGCTGCTGCTCTGCGGGACTGCCAAGGTGAGGAACAAATTCTAATCATCTGTTATTTTGAGATGTGGCAAATTTAATGCAAGCCCAAAGGAATACTGAGAAGGTGCCTACTGGAAACCAAATTGTGCTGTCTCTTTACCTAGTTACTCTTGTGTATTTGTTCATGAGTATTTGGTATTGCCAATAGTTTGAGTTTGTAACTTACAATCATATAATGTTTTTGATGCTTAGGAAGGTATGGCATAGTATGATAACAACCATTCTTTGACAGCCTTTACCTGCCTTTCATATTTAGAACAATTAAAATATATCAAAGAAATACCCTCAGACCATTCTGGAACAGTGAACACAGTGGTCGGGGGTTAATTTATTTATTAATTTATTTTCAGCTCCAGATTCCTTTAGTCCCAAAAAATTCTTTCAGATCAGTGGGATGTCTAAAAAGAGTAGTAGTCAACTCAAGGAGATCTTCCGGATCCTCGACAATGATCAAAGTGGCTTTATTGAGGAAGATGAGCTCAAGTAAGGATTTTCTGTATTGCCTTAAACACTAGTAAGTGACTATCATAAATTAAGACTTTTATTTTCAAAACTGTCTTGTAAAGGATAGCAGAGGTTATGCTAAATGCATGATCAAACCTTCAGTAGACTGTACATGGTGTAAAATGGTGTATTATATAATAAAAATAATAATTTATATAAATCAAATTATTAAGTAACTGCTTTAATGCCCAATACAGCAAAAACATACTGATAAGACTACATTTTGATAATGGGCAGAATCAAACATACTTATAAAGCAGATATATATAATAAAGATTTAGTTTGTCAAACAAAGCAACCTTTGGAGGACTTGGCTACTGGAGTAAATAATTTCTTTATGGAGAGCTGCTTGATTATGCAGCCAGACTAAGAGCATATTATTCTGTGAAAATCATAATCAGCATTGCTTCCTTCTAGGTATTTTCTTCAGAGGTTTGAATGTGGAGCCAGGGTGTTGACCACTTCAGAAACTAAGACCCTCCTGGCAGCTGCAGATCATGATGGGGATGGTAAAATTGGGGCTGAAGGTATTAACTTATTTATAAACACACTAAGCATAAACACAAAGTGACCGTAGCCTGTTTCTCCTTCCCCTTTGTTGTATAAAGCAGCACTAGCAATATACAAGTGTAAAACCCAGAACAAAAGAACAAGCCCTATCAGACAAGATTGTCACATTTGTCATCTGATTTACAGTAGTATCTCCCAACAGAATTCCACTAGTAGCAGTGAAATCATACCCAATATGCAAGGTTTGAGCTGTATGTATTTTAACATTTATTTTGCATAATACGGAAAAGAGAATGATAAAGTACATTATCCTGGGCAAGACATCCCTCAAGAGGCTTTGTGCATGTGTTGTTTGGATGTTATCTCCAGTGATGGGTTAAAGAATCTGACAGGAAGTAGTGGTTCTTTTAGGATGCATCCTATTGCACCAACTCCATAGAAATGCCAGAATGATTTAATGGCTGCTCAGTGCAGCAGAAACCTCCTGATTTCCTGATTCAATACTTCCATGTCCTGTTTGGGCAGGAAGCCGGCATGTGAGTGTACACATGCAAAAAAAGCTTGGACACGGTGACAACTTCTCTGAGAAGCAAGCTGTAGGGAAGTGCATGAAAGTGCCTTAGGGAAAGGTATAAAGGGAATGTGCTGCTGTGCAGATTCCCTAGATTGCTGTGTGAGGTGGGGACTGAACTTTTCTGTTTCTTTAGAAGGTATTACATTCAGTTCCTTAGGGGGCTACCAATATACTGATATAATTCTCCAGGGATGGGACTGAGCAGATACTATAGCTCACATAAACCAAAATATTAGAAAATCTTATAAAATGCAACATTATAGTGCTAGAATGTCACACTTGAACTACTTGAAACTCCACATTTTTGGCTTTTCATAATTTTCTAAATCAACACTTCTCAACTGTTGAAGCACTACAGATGGCTAAATAAAACAGAGCCAATCTTAATTCTTTTACCGAAATCCTTATTTTTTTCTTTCACAAAGTCCTTTCTAGCCATACCATTATTTTTGCGCAAGATCACTCTTGAGTATGCTAAAACAACCATAAGTCTTATAAATGTATAAAACTATCTTATAAATGTTAGCAAAGCATGACTTTTCCACCTATTGTTTAGAGCAATGTCTTTCTTTTACATACATTTCTTCCCCTTTGCTCATGTTGGCCATTTGCTTTCAGTTCATTCCTATTCTAAATCTCTTACGAAAACACTAATCTTTTATTTCCAATTCTCTTAAATTACTATTTCTACCTTTTTTTTTTCAGAATTCCAGGAACTGGTGCAGTCTTAGAGGTGCAAAAGTAACAATCAAGGCAGAATTGGGATCAATCTGAAAGAATTCCAAAACTTTGGAAATCAGAAATCCCTTATTTATTTATTTGACAGTGTCTGTTAATGTTCATTGCTTTAGCAACATATTGAAACACTGCTTAAAGAATTTTTTCATTGTGTGGACCATTTACAATGTTCTAAACTCTAATTCAGCAGATATTTCCCTTAAAAATATCCAATAAAAATTAGTCATACAGTGTAACACGTGTCTATTTTTCTGATGACTAAGCTGAAATGTGTGAATTCTTAAACTAAGTGTTAATCCCTCAAGGATCTTGATCTTACTAGAGCTTCGTATGGCTCATCTTTTGAAATCAGTAGTAGTTCTGCCTACAAAAATCTAGCTTGATCAAGCCTGAAGTTCTCAAATACTCAGCTCTCACTCAAAGTCCAAGGATTCAGCTATAGCAGAGAGGTAGATGAAGACAAAAATCTCACCGACTTTCAAGTGAAAGGCAGTCATAGGTTTTGCTTTAGAAATAATTTCCAAACAAGCCTAACGAAGCTTCAAACTCATCATTACATTAACCAGATCATTACATTAATTAAGAGAACAAGAAAATAAAAGCTCTAAGTTCTCCTGCAGAAAACAAATTTTAAAAGAAAACCTGCATGTGCTTAAGGTTTCAGATCACTGTGAGACTTTAAAAAAAAAACAGAGGGGAAGCAAAACGTATTTGCATGTGCTTGACTCTTTCTAGGTTTCTCAGGGGGGAGAACAAAAATGCAAAGAAAGAACTTACAGAAATACATGTTGCTATGTGTTAGCATATTTTACTAGGTATTTACAGGCTGTGTCTGTTTAATTTAAGACTGTCCTTCACAAAAAGTATACATTTATTTCTTTTAAATCAACAAACAATAGTTCAGTCATTGCAAAAGATGCTCTGATACTCTGACGGAGTACAGGAGCATATATGTATGCATTAGTAAGTGCTCTAAACTGCAGTTCATGCACACACACAACTTTAACTGTTTGCCTTTTCTTTAATACTAAGAAATCTTTAACTTTAAAATCAGTACAAGACTGGAACCAATTTCTAGCGCCAGTCACAGTTTTGGAACTGGAATCCAATACAAAACACCTCAGTAAAGAATGCTTCAAAATTGCTGCCGTTTCAGTCTGTTTCTTCCTTCTCTGCAAATGGTTATGCTTAAAAGGACCTGCATTTATCCTCTCATAAATCTCTGCAAATACCAGTAATAATGGAGAAAAGCACTAAAAAAGGGCTGACCTGTTTATGAGATAACCAGCTGTTGCTGGGGAAAAGACTAAAGAATCTCAGTGCACTTGAGAGGGGCTATATATCCTGCACAGCAACGAAATCATGAAGGCAGAGTTCAAATGGTTAATGATTTGATATTCTGAGCCCTTTCCTCTCTCACAACCTGTATTATGCAGGTCTAATATAACAGCAATTGAGAAATTCTTGTTGGCTTAAAATGTGTTTAGCATTGAAGCACAAGTGTCTACATAAATTACATTTCTGCTTTATATATTGTGAAAAGAAGTTCCTGGAGAGCCATCATCTAAAATAGCCTAGGCAGCAACACCGCTACAAATTCTATAATGATCCACCTTTTTATTCTACCCCTTCTCTGCAGCCATCTCTTTTGGGAGAAGAGTAAAGGAGTATCAGTCAAAAATCATCAAATGTCTTTTAAACTAACATACATAGATGAACTCAAAATTCTTAGCAGCTGAAGGTTTAAAACATATTTTTTGTCCCAGATTTTTTTTCAGGCAGCTTCATTTGCTTGTTTGTACACTTGGCAGTTTGTACAAATATGAAAATTTCATAAGGTCACCACATTTTTTTTCTTATTGTAGTAACAATACTAACACAAGCTGATAAAATATGAACCTTGAATTTGATTAATAAGATACTTCTCAACATTAAGAAATATGCCTACCTGGCATAAAGCAGGTAGCATAAGCATAAAGCACCAGAGATTCAATGACTTACAGAAGGGAGTTACGCAAGCTGAGGATCTGGCCTGTAGGGGTGTTCATAGCATAAGATGGATGTCATGGGATATTCACAAGAAATAAAGCGTGTTCTTGGCGATGGAACCAGGCTGATGACAGAAGGGTCTTGGACTAGTTCACATGTAAGCAACAAACAAACCTGTTCTCCATTTCACTGACAATTAAGTGTCCTGACCTTGACTAATCATATTACATTAGGCAGCAAATGCACATAAAATAAAAATTTTCCAGCTGCTTCTATCTCTGCACCTCTATCTCCTCTTAGTGTCTCAGCCTTTGCACCCTAGGCTTATGCAAAGGAACTTACAGGCAAAGTAAAAATCCCATTATTCTCCACTAAGGTGGAGAACACTACACATTTAGTAGAGCAGGTCACTGGACAGTAGGTTGACAGAAGAACCAAACACTGCCCCAGTCCACAACAAATTTTAGAGAGAATCATCAGAACTGCCTTTCTCACCCAAACAGAAGACTGTATCAGTTATATGCACCAGAAGCTCCTGTAATATAGCCAAACTACAAGACTTAAGTACAATAAAGGGGCAAGGATAAAGAAGACTAGGGAAGAATTTCTTAGTAATTGTGCTACCATACGAGCTTTATTTTTATTTTATTAGTATTACCAGATTTGTATGCAATGACTTTAGAATTATCCTGGTCAACATTACCAATTCAAAATACGTCTCAATTGTTTCTTTACAGCTGATTATTGCGAATTTATTATTGTAGGATACGAATGAAAGCACTAAATAAGAAAAATTATTAGAACATCCACTTGTTCTAATAGATATTTTATCTGCGACATCCAACGTATCGCTGCTTCAGAGCTGAAATTCCTTTATTTGCCCAGGCTCTTTCTCATTGTCTGCTGCCAATTTTTCTTTCATGTCTAGGCACACAGTAAATCAAAACATTGAAAATTTCACATATATCTCAAGTTCAGTATGCTATTCAGTAATGCTATACCATTACTATAACCCAAACTAATGTAAAATTACTACCTTCTGTTATAAACTCTTTGATTCTGCCAAGTATATAAATCATCTCTACTCACCAAGCACTCAAAATTTGCTTGCATTCCTTGACATCTCACTAAGGGCAAATCTGGGTAAGATGAATGATGCTCTCACTCTTACAGCCAGGACCCTGCAACCAGAGGCAAAATTGTATTTTCACATAGCACTACACTGGCCTCTTCCAATATTAACAACAATGCATACTGGGGATACACAGGCATTGTGCCTTTTTGCTGGATCACAGCACTACTTTGTGATTTATTTGCTAAACTAATCCCAAACTGCTGAGTCCACACATTCGTTAACACATTTAGACCACATACTGTCAAAGAACAGCTATTTGATCTGTCAGCTCTATTTATTTACAGCTGTCAGCTCTAACACCCAGAGTGATTTATAGTTTACCTTTTTGTTAAGTCTGCTACTATGCAGCTGATGGAAATGCTCAAAATAGTACCTATGAACAGTCAACAAACAAGAAAGTATGACTACACAGTGACGAAGACATTTTTCTTTTTTATTCCAACTTATTCTTTTAATAAACTGGAAAGCACTAATGATGTTCTTAATTATTTGTCTCTTGATGTATCCTGTCAAATTTCAAATGCAACTTTTAAACTTATGCAGCAGTTTAATTTTATGTAATCGTTGGCTGGGAATCACATTTCAAACTCAGGGTGATCTGATGTCACTTTGCAAATGTCAAGGTGTGGTGTTACTGCACATACAATTAAGAAGATGGGATGAAATCGGAACCACAATCGAAGTTTCTTCCTGCCCTGTTAATATGTGCATTAGAGAAGTAATAATTTAAATTAGATGAATCTATTATCACATAGTCTTTGTAGATCCTCACTAGTGGGTCCACTAAAAAAGGTGTCAAGTTACAGATGAGATTGCATTGGGAGATATTTTATTTTAGCAAACTCCACGTGCATAATTTCCCTTCCTAGGGAAACTGGCATGTAAACACCTTCCTTAGCAATCGCCAATTAACTAAGTATCCACCGTCCATGCCTCCGCAATATAGCCCTTGCAAGAGTATTTTTATTATAGCAGTAAATAGCTATCCAGTCATAGACCATGATCTCAGCCGTATTACATCCTGTACTAACACAGATCCAAAGGATTATCCCTACACAAGCCAAAATCTACTGTCACTACAGCTTTATTAATTATTTGGGAAAAAAAATAACAAAAAAATGACTATCACCACCAACTTGAAAAATTTCCATGTTTTAAGCGAGTAGTATAAACTAATTTCCCCCTCTGGTCCTGATAATCACTACCTGTAGTATATACTGGGGGGGAAGAGAGGCTTTCCTTTTTTCTTTTAATATATTCAGTACTAACTGGATGTTCTCAGAAACTCTCATCTGTGTCAAAGCCTTCAAATGGACAGATCATAAATCTCAATGGCTTATCTGAATCCTCACAGCCGCAGGATTGGAAGCTGGAATTAGACCATTCTGGATGCCTCACCCAGACACGCGTGGCCTGATCCTCATTCACCCAGGGCTTTGGGAAGCCCTGGGGACACAAGGGCTTTCCTCACCCTCCTTCCTCACGCTTGCACAGAGGCAGGTCACCTCCAGTCCTGGCCCCTCTGCAACACTTACATTAAATTAGAAATCAGACTCCTCCTGAAGCTTTGGAAACATTTCCTACAGCTATTTAAGACTCTGCTGGCACTGACTAGAAGCGCTGGGTCTGCTGCTACAGCTCAGCACATTGTGAGGATCTCCTCAGGTCTTGAGAGGTTTGGGTTAGACCCCACAAGCGTGGTCATGAAAGGTGACCTGTCAGCTGGCAGTGAAACCTGCACACAGCGAAAGGATGCCTGGGCAATACGCACACAGGTTAATAGAAATTCACTTATTCATTCTCCACCTCAGGCGAGCCTTGGCAGGCCTGCACATGCCACCCTCCTTGCTGCTACACCACACCTCACAG